TGCAGTATTCTAAGTAGCTGAAATAATTTTCTCTCAAAACCCACTTCCTTTTGTCTTGACTTAAAAGGGGCTACTCATGTGTCTTGGCTAAAATGATTTAAGATTGGGACATAGGTCCAGGTGCCTGGCAGCATCCCACCACCTGCCACCACACACTGAAGAATGCAAATGTGAGGGCAAAGGGGGAAACCTGGTGACCTGCCCGACTGAACTGCAAGCTGCATGTGACATCTTGTGAAACAATTTACCCACAGAATCCAGGAGACCATTCTTACCCAGAGCACTTAAGTTGTTCACACCATCTGAGTGAAGCCAGATAACACCAAGAGACAATGATAGCATTTTCTACCCTGGAGTGTTTTCAGAAACAGGAGCTCCAAGCGGTTACCCTGGTAAAACTAGAGACAGATGACCACAGACACCAATGGTCAGAGTGTCCTGACACTTTTCCTTCCAAGGTCTGAGCTCTTCTGTTGCTGTGCCCATTACTGATCTAGCTGTTCAAAACAATAGCTTTCCATGATGGCGTTCAATCTCTACACAATTTGACTTTACAATTCTCAGCCAAGCTTGGGCAGGCTGAAGAACAAGGTAATCTGTGAATGGCTTTTGGTTTTCTTTGGAGGTTTTACAGAAGCACATTACCCTGGGGGAAGAGAACTGTTTTTGCTGTCCTTGTGAAAATATGCCTGGGATTTGGCAAGTTACAAAGCTTAATGTATTATATCACTGTTTGGACATGCTCTGTAAAGGGTCAAAAAAATTAATCTACCCTGAGTCCATTCATGGCAACAGGCATCTACTGGTTCTGGTTAGCAGGTCAGCTCAGTGACTTAGGCAGACAGTGTCTTTCACTCTCTGCAATGTCTATTTATTTCTTGTCTCCTATAAAAATATAGCAAAAACAAATCCCGTAACTGAAGGCAATGCCATACTGAATCAAAAGTGATCAGAAAGTCCCCATAATGTTCACAAAGAGCCATACCCCTACCATGTTCAAATGGCACAACTATCCTTGCTGAGAACTGATATTTGAAAGGTATTTCTAAGAAAGGAGGCAACTGCAACACTATCACCACCTCCCTCCTCCTGTTAGGAAGATACACAGGCATGAGTGGCAGCATTAATGTCTCCTGCTGCTGTGAGGAAGGAAAATTTGAAAAACCTTTAGGTGTTGGTACAGAGGACTGCGCGAAACCTCCTGGAGAAGGGGTGGAAATATAATGGGTTACAGTGAAACCCAACAGAGGAATTTTATAATGCACATGCTTTATTTAAAAGCCATGCATTTTACTTTAAGCCTGTTCCATTGTACCTGCCAAAGGAAAGAGGAGAAACCTCACACAGTGCCTAAAGAGGCTTCTCCCCGGGAAATCCTCACGTCTCCTTTGCTCGCACTGCTGATGCTGCTCAGAGCTGCCTGTCAGGTGACCTTTACAAGCACATTACCATGTTTGACAGCAACCCTCCACCACAAAAGTTTCCAGGGAAGTTACCCTGCTCCACGAGGTTTCTCATTTTCCCCACTGGCTGCAGAGCGTTTCAGCGCTCTGCTAATTATATCAACACTCAGACACAAACTCACCAAAACAGACGGTGTCCCGAGCCCCAGCTGCAGGGAAACAGGCTTCTTTAAATAATCCAGGTAGAGAGGCCAAGAGGGTCAGAAAGCATCCCTGGACCCCCTCCCACCGCTAACGGGGACTGGCGACAAACTTGCCGGGGCCAGCTCATGTCACTAATTAGGGTGCAAGTCCCAGGGCTTCAAAGGGACAGAGACTGACCAGGGGGTGTAATGCCATGAAGGAGATGCAGTGCCACAGCCCATTGTCAGTGGGACAAAGGGCCCTATTATTGCTCCCGAGAGCAGGGCAGTTCTTACCGTAATTAGGAGACAAAGATTCACGATCCCGGATTTTACATAATCAAGAGATACTCTCCCAAGCGGGAGCCCCTCTCACACAATCAGTGGATTAAGTATTGTTTATTCTGCTGCAAGTAAACAATGAGGTGCTCCCTGCTCGGGGTTTTACATGAAAAAGCAGGACTGGGGAAGACAATGTGGAGTGTCTTTTCATCTGACTTTGAACAGCTAACCCCGTGATTTAAAGTTGTTCATTTGACAGTATCTGGAAGGGTAATGGCCCACCCTGTAAATTAGCTGCTCACATACTGATCCTGGGGCTGCCAGACAACCTCACCTCTTCTGCTGCTTATCAGAGGGGGGTCGGGACAGACAGACTCAGACTGCTCTGGGGGCAAGAGGCTGTATTTACACAACAGCGCTATAATGGCAGGATTAAGGGACCACAAGGAAGCCAGGCAGAAGCTCCTGCCCACCCAGTCACTTTGCCACTGCTGGGGATGCACCTCTGAAGGGAGGCTGGTACCACCAGCAAGACACTGCACACGGGGGCACTACTTCAGAGCAACTGTTTTCACAGTACTACTGGGAGAGCAAAAGGGAATTGGATGTTTGCCCTGTACCCTTACAACAAAAGGCATGGCTAGGCAGATTGAGCATCACTTATTTTTGGTCATGACTGAACAGTCTGTGCTGGGCTATCTACAGTGACAGATCCAAATCAACCACCAGACCCAGAGCATCTGGCTCTGGGATACACAACATCTGATACCTGTCTCACAGGTCCTGATCGAGTGATTTTACAATACTGGCAATAAAAAGAGACTGAGGGTGTTATGCTCCCTGCCCTTTGCTCACAGCACAGCTACTATGCTTCTTTGCTTGTTTGAACTTTAACGAGAGCTCTTTACCCTTGTCTTCTACAATAAGGCAACAACAGGATTTGATGAACGCCATATACTTTGCAGTTTGCTCCCCCACCACAAGCACACCCATATACACGTGCATCCTGCTCTGATACTCGAGCAGAATGCTCCCTTTTCTTCATCCCCTTCACTCAAAAAAACACCCTTAACCCTCACCAAAAGGATTTCAATCACATGAACTTGGGACTGAGAATGCCATGCCATGTTCTGTGTATCTTGTTGAATCCTACAGCCTTGCAGAACCCTGGGAACCATGGAATTACAGCCCCTGCCTGCCAAGGATTTCAACCCACTTCCTTTGGGATGAAAGAGTCACCTTAACAGCAGCCCAAACTGCTCTGCTTACCAGAGGATTTTCTGTTAGGTTGGGCCAAGCAGACGGTGTCATTTGACTTGTCTAGACTAGGACAAAAGGTGTGTTTTAAACCAGACGGGCAGGGTAAGTTGCACTCCAATACGTTAGCTGACCAGGGAGAACCACAGCTTCCTTGTCCTATCTTCACTGACATGTCTTAAATTGCTGAAGCAAATACTTGGCAAAACCCCCTTACCATCATCTAGACAATTCCATAAAGACCAGCATCCCAGCACCACCCTTAAATCATGCCCACACAGCTTGATAATTGTGGCTTTGATTTAGGGACACATTCAAGTCTTTGTTGCTCTACACAATCAAGGGCAGCAAAATCATTTCAGGAGAACATTATCCAAAAGCAAGTTTCCTAATACTAGAGAAAGAGGTGCATGGAGAGGAACAGCATGTTTGGACAGTCAGTGTGTCTTTCTGCCTTGTTGCAGCAGACTGCAAAGCTGCCAAGCTAGAAGGATGTCTATTCTGCTGTCTTTTATCCATCATTCAAAGCAAGCAAATTCACCTTTCCACTCAGGTCCATGGAACGCAACTTTGCAAAGAGGTCACGTCTTCAAGCTTCAAAATGAGGGTAATGCCAGGATAAGCCTAATATGATAACCACTTTCTCTAAAGCATGAAGTGTAAGGCAAAAATATCTCAGACTCCATTTTGTGAGGGTTGCAGAGTACCACAGAACAACTGCTTCAGTCTTGGTCTATAATGAAAATTTCTTTCATTTACTTCAGAAGCAGCAAAGTACACTTAATTATCCACTATTTGATGGACCAAGTTTAAGAAATAGCTCTCTAACTCTTTTGCCAAATCACTGTAACATTTATAATGCCTTTTAAAAACATCTGACATGTATTTACCAAGGTTTTCTAAATAAATAAATAGTAAAATTTGAGATAGTCCATTTAATAGAATGGGATGTCTCTGCTACATGCCATTCTGTTAAGAATCTGTATTCAGGAGTGAGTGTTGACACCTCAAGATGCTGAATTCTTCAGCATTCCGAAAAGATCATTGGAGTCCAAAGACCCAAAAAAAGCTTAAAACACTGACAAGCTTCTGCAAACAGACAATCTCCTTTTCTAAAACATCAGCTTTTCTACATGTTTAAACTAGACTTGGAATATCTCTTTCATATCTTCATGTATCTGGCTCTACATTTTTTCTATGGTAAAAAATAGGAAATAAAAAAGAGTATCAGGAGTCCCAGGGGCAATTACTTGAACCAAAGCACAACATCCAAGCACCTTCCCAAACAATTAATAACTAATTTTTCCTTGTTAAGAGAAGCTGATTTAAGCCAAAATCCACATCATTCCCTAACCTCAACAGGCAAAAAAAGCTTAAAACATGTTATTGAAAGTCTGGAACCAGAAACTCGTCCATCTTCATTCACTCCCATGAGTGACAAAAACTCTTTATATCCAGCTGCCTCCTTCTCCCCAGACAGAATAATCTCACAGGTTGATACCCCAATACTTTTATCAAGTTTTTCTTCATGTTAGAAGCATCTTCGATTTAACTTGTTAAAATTTTGCAACGTTGGCATTTTATTGTTTTATGTAACAACAGTGATGGATTTCGAGGGGAGGAAAGGGGGGCTTGAATTTTTTCTAAAAACATTTCCAGCTATTAACTGGCAAGATTTCCTGTATTTGCAAAAAATAATAGAATTAAGCCCTACAGCACCCTGGTGACACCAGATGAGGAAAAACATTTTAAAAACCTGCTCAAAATCACAAAGGGGGCCGTTAACAGTGAAGGGGGTTGAAGGCCTCCTGCCCCTCTCCAGCAGCCTCCCTCCGGCCATCTGATGACCAGAGACACTCTCAGTACTATTTCTTACCTCAGTGAATTATCTGGATGTGTCTCCATGTGGGACTCCAGCCCGTACTTGCAAAAAAAGTCTTTGAAACACACTGGACAATGATAAACTTCATCGTCGGCCTTCTTATCCCCTTCACCGGAGTGACCATCCTCGACAACCTTCAGAAAAAGGAAAAAAACCTCACTAGAACGAATTTTAAGCAACAAGCCAAACATGTAATCCATTCAAAATCCTTCTCTTAAAAACAAAGTCACAGGCTTCATCAGAACCTTGCTGCAAGCAACCAGAAGTTATTCATTCCTCAACAGAGAAGGTAAGCAACAGAGCCCCTGCATGTGTAAGAATATGCACGACAGAAAAGGAGGCTCAGTAGGAGATAAAGTGCGCAGCTGAGTCACAGATACATCCGTTCTAATGAGAAACTGTGATTTGAACAACTTATAAACCCGTATGTTTATATACCACCAAACTAGCATTCCTCCCCCTTAAGCAAGCCAGGCGAGCTGTCAGCCTAAATTATTTATGCCACTGAGATACTGCCAACTGCTAAGTCAAGTGGTTTGGGGAAAAGCAATGAACTCCTGCATAATTTCTATAGTTCTCTTCTGATTACAGGGAGAAAAGAATGCACAGAAGGAGGGATACTGTGCTAAACAGGAAAGTTACTAGCTTGCCATTTAGAGATAGCAAGTGAAAAGAGTCAAGCTTGGCAGCTACCATACGTTTTGTACAAATGACTGAAATGCGCTAAAATATTTCATAAACAAAACCCTAATGGAAATGTCTAACCTTCAAATAAATATTTTCTGGTCGCTCTTGCAACTTCAATAAAGCAGGATTATGCTACTGTGAAAGGGAAATGTGCTACCGATTTTTTTTTTTCCCTCCAGATCAAGAGAAAACCAGACTCAAGCTGTTACTGCTTTTGAAGTAAAAACATTTTTTTGAAAGTTTAAATCACCATCCTGCAAGACTACTATGAAATGTATGGGAGAAGAAACATCTAGGGAAAAAGCTGCAGCAGCAAAACAACAGTTCATCCTCGTCATCCAACATCAATTATTTATAGATCATAAGCAGAAAAAAATAAAAATAAAGAATTTGAAAAGTTTAATTATTTCCAACTCTGAAATTAGGAATTCATTTTCAATCTCAGACAACAGCACTGACTACACAGGATGAGCATGGCAAGTTCTACACAGGGCTGTAACAAGACCACGTTTTAGTATGTCTGTGCTGACTACATGAACTCAACAGCTGACAGTTCAGGAGGTACCCAGGAACATCTTTTGCTTGTGCCCCATAAAGAACCTTTTTTGCAGGTGTCCTCTCTTCTCTGTCCAACTCAGCATCATGACTAAACTTCCGTTTCGAAGACAATCGCCTGCGCTTCAGCGGCGAGGGGGGAGTTGTGCTTGCTGTGCTGTTCGGGTCCTTCTCATGAATCTTCATGTGCCTGAGCAG